GTGGACTTACTGTAGGCTGTAAGTGAAAAAGGCATAATTATTAGCCATTTGATAACACGCGGCTGGTGTTAAGGTTGAAAACAAGAGCCCAAATAAATATTTGAATTTGAAGTTAAATCTCGTTGTAAGTCATAGAAGAAGATACGTGACTTTGTAAAAAGTATTTTTTTCAATACAAAATTTTTGACAATTTCATTCAGCAATATGTAAAGCAGTATTATTTGATAAGGGTTAAATAGGTTAAATAAATACTGTTTGATAAGTCATACAAACACACACAAAAAAAGAAAAACTGCTACAAGATCAAATGCCTAGTTACAAATAGGTTTTTTTATGTTGTTAAACTGTTTTCATAAATTATTTGATGCTTAAATTTCTCTTTGTCTTATGACCTATCTTGAGAAGTAATTCTTCTACGTTTAGCCCTGTATTTATTTCACATCTTTTCATTTTACTGGCCACCAAATAAGTTTAAATTTGAGTATAATACATTTGAAAAATATTCAGCTGCAATTTTTTTAGTTATTTTTAAACGTTAGAGACGAATCGCAGACGAACTTTGCGTTTATTTTTAAAAATATCGGAGATGAAAAAATTTGATCGAAGTGTTTCGTCGTTATCATCAGAGCAGCAGTTGCGATAAACTTTTGATGCCGTTTTATCTGATTCTGATGGTATTTTTAATGATTTTTTTTTCTTTTTTTGTTGAGTTTTACTGTGTTTTGTGGCAAATAATTCTTGTTAAAAGTTGTTTTAGGAGATACATAGTGTTGGAAATGTTGTGAGTTATTCTGGAACTGTGTTTGCAAAGGGCGATTTTTTTAAACCGCTATTTTTGGATATAACTTGATGTATATTTTAAAGAATAGAATTTTGCGGAATAGTTGGAAATCTTTAAACAGTAATTATAGAATTATATGTAGATTTATTGAAGCTGCAGAATAAAGAAATAAATTAATGCCAATAAACACTTCTGTTTGTCCAACTGCCGTAAAGTTCTGGTCAAACTTTTCATATCCATCCCTTAAAAAGTGATTTTATTTTGTGGTTTATCCATGGGGAATTTTTTCAGGTTTCTTAAGTTTTTTTGCTAGGTATTGTTTACTTCTATAGTATTTCAAAAAGTTTGTGCTCCAGGACGGAATTTCTAGTGCTTATTGCAAATCTCGTGTGCGCGTAGCTGATATTCACCAACTGTTCTGTAGGAAAACTGATGTAAGTGATAATGCATCTTCTTGTCTCAGCAGAAAAAAAGTAGGAACGACCGGAAGGGTAGCAAAGGTTAGACAAGGGGTCAGATCAGACTTACCGGCGTTCTAGTTAATTGCTGGGAGAATTAAAAATTGAATTTCAGATATTAACTGGTAAGGTCGTAAAGTACTGGTTTTTTATCCGTATATCTTAGTGTGATTTTCTTTTGTCGGAGACTTATAGCTTATTTCCTCTGCTCGTCCCAGTTAGTTTTTTATATGAGGAAGGAGTCGGGAAGCTTTCACCAGTTTGGACCTTCTTGCTGTTAGTAAGCAATCACTTTAAGGTACGACCTAATTTTTAGGGATTTTATAAAGATGTACATAGGCTGGCGCTTTTTCCGTTATTTTATATCGTAAGTTTTGGTCTCTGTAAGAGGTGACATGTGACTTTAAATTTTGTAAC